AATTCTGGAGATAATGATAGTGATAATGAGAATACCATCTTAACAATCATAAATTGAAGGATACAAAAACGTTTGTGATCGAAAGTGAAGCGATAAATGCGAATGAGAATGAGGAGCGGTGTAGTCGCTTTCCGATCATATTGAATGGTGATAAACGTAAATTATTGAAGATATGCGATAACAATCAAATAATTATCTATGATGATAATGACAACATATGGAATATTTATACACCTTCACCGTATTCACATATCGAGGTTTCGTCGGCTTTATGCATTACAGAAATGAGATTATCGTTATTGTGAGTCTTGACTTTTATGCGATGAAACACCAATCATCAGTGACTATAATATGCTGCAGTGAACTGTACAAATTGTAATTTTGAACTGATGATTCAATAATTATTGTGTTTTGAATTATACATATTGTTATCAGTATCGTTATTATTATTACTACCAGTATGGTATAAGGTATTGATGGTAACCGGATGAAATTTGGACTCGGTCGAAATCTAACCGAACAGAAATCTGACCGAACGCAATTTTTAAGACTTTGAAATTCTACTTATGACCGGCATTCAAAATTTTCGTTCAGAATGCCGAATTTTCGATCTGATCGGATCTGTTATTTGAAAATTTAAAATTCAGTTGGAATCCAACTGGATCTTACCGACCGAACTTCTTGCTATTAATACCATGAAAATGTATAAATTAAGTTTCAGTTAAGTGAAGTAACAATGGCTCGAGGGGTTAGCGAAACGTATGGACGGAGTGGTCATCGAATGGGTGCTGTGGAATCCTTGATGAATTTGTTCACCGATCGAGATACTTGCATCGCGAAGGTTGACCTCACATAACACTCTTTCCTCCTGCTCCCCCCTCCCCCTACCCCTCTCTTTTAATACCGACTCCAATTACATTTATTAGATTTCTTTTATCTCTTTCCTATCATTTGAGTGGCTTGATTTCCCACTGGAATTATTTCCAGGACAATCCCAACACAATGCGTTATTCTTTGAAGCTTTCTTGCATAATCAGTCAAATCTGAAAACATTCAGATTAAAAAACTAAAAGCAACGATACGTTAACTTATTTGAATTCAAAGTTAAGTGGTGTCCCACATATTCTAACTCTCCCGTCCTGAAAACCCACATTATTCCCACCTCATCTTTCACTTGAAGTAATTCATTCACGCCTTGTCTGTTATATCGAAGACTTAATTAATCCGACTCTTTCGATTTCACACGTTGTTAAATATTTTCGATCGCGGTTCAGAATTGTTTCAGTTGAATTGTATCGAATCAGTTGTATTTAAGATATTCAAAAATGGTAAACATACGTTCTACTGCATTCAATTCGACGATCAACGCAAAACTTACTGCGTATTACCAGCATCCAGTTGTCAACTGCCGACATCAATTCAACGCAGATTTTATGCGGTAATTTCGGTTCTCTTTTCCGCCAAAACGGTCCATTCGGTCAAATCAAAAGATGCTGAGATCAGAGATAAAGATGCGTTTCGAATAATTCATCGACAACGCATCAAAAATTTGATATTATCAATTAATCTGATATAATTTTAGGCTTGTACATCCACTCAGTTCGTATTCATTTGCTCGAAAGGTATTGCATTTGTACCGCTGAAACCATCGACACTGAAAGAAATTTGTTTCTTATCGTTACAACTGAATTTTTGTAAATCAAATTCTGACGGTATCTTATCGGGTGGAATATCCGAGCAACAAATTAAAGATTTATGCTTTTGTAAATATCAGCATTCATTGGTCTGATCCATCTTAGCAATCTTGGACAAAACCGTCGATTTTGCTTTATTTCGTAGTATTATTGCCTTGTAGTGGTTTGCGTGCTTTGATTGTTTCACATAAAGGTGCTATGAATTGAATTTCCGATTGATCTGCATATGCCATAATTATATATTATATTTTCGTGTAGTTATTTTGGTAGTCTTATGAATAGTGTTGATTGAATCTCATCAAAGAAACCATCTTTCTTTCATTTTTCATATAATAATAAAAAGTTATTCGCTTTGTTGTCAATTTTTTTAGCTGCCGACGAAATAAATATCCAGCATTGGTGCAAAGGTTGTGGGCACATTAATAATATGGCTAGATCGGATAAATTTTAAAGATTAAGACGATTTTCTCTGCGGGTTTTGACTTACCTATACATATGCTAAACGAGAGTACTTCAAGCAGCTTCTGATTCTCTAGGAGTGTGTATGTTCTCATCAATCGACGCGAAAACGGCAAGCAACTGAAGTCGTTAGTGAGTTCGCTAAATCAGTGCAGACATTTACGGAACAGTTTCGAAACCACATTCAGAATGAGACTCTCAAATTTACCACATTCACAATGAGACTCAAATCAAAATGCACATCGCAATAAACTAATCAAATGTTAAGTTCTTGTAATTCACCCATCCAAAACTAACAATAAAAGTCTGTTCGGGTTTCGGAACGATATACAATATGCATGTAACGACATGGCAATGGATTTGAATTTCATTCAATAGTCAAAGAAAAATTATCGAAAGCTCCTGAAGTAACACCCATTCCCGCTTTATATATCATTTTCATGGCACAATACATATCTGCTGTTAATTTAATTCTTGATGTTATGCACGGGTGAATTAGAATTCAAAAAACGATCGCATAGAATTACGTCTCTTCTGAACCCGTAAAAAAGGATCCAAACGTACAAATTAGATCCTTTAAATAAGACCCTTTGCTGTGAGGGAATTTAATTTTTCCTAGGTTCAGATTGGCTCTGACAGTGGTACGAATCGTTAACTGATAAGTAGAACTGAAAGAGCACAACGGATCGCGAAACAGTGTGATCACAACTCTTATTCCCTTCAAAAATTTGCAGTTGGCTCGTTTAGCTATAGATATATCCAACAAGGATGGTTATCATGAATTCGTGATATGAAAATCATTTCATCTTCCAACTCCAATAAGAAAACTATTTGATAACACATCCGAGAAGAGGAATGAATTTTGAGGCACCCACCTAATTTTTATCTTCTTTACTTGCAATATGTGATTAAATGTGCTATTTTGATAGTATTATTAATTACTTATTTTTAGATCTAATGAACTGCCTTAGTGATCGAATAATAAAGATAACGTATGGAAATACGTAGACAATGATAATGCCAATACAATAATATGAATAAATGTTGATTACTGTATCCGATATCTAATAAACCGAAGAATTGTGAATTTGTGACTGAATGCTTGAATCATGGATAAATGGCTTATTTTCGTTTCTTTTGTGTTATCATCAATTTACACATTAATATGAAAACTACTTTTAACAGTGAAAATGTTAGAAATGCGGTTGCGATCCAAGTATGGCAAATCAAGTTCACTTGAGGACTGCCCCTCAGCTGGTCGCTACCGAGCAATTTTCTGAATCCTCGACATTCTCATTTGCTTCGAATCCACTTTATTTTTCTTTCCATTGTGGCTTCTCATTTTTATGTTCCAAAAATCATTTACAATTAGTTTCATCGATATGGCTCCATAAAATCCACTTAATATACCGCTGCATTATAACGTCAACTTTGTCTACGAACTGTTCATTGAACTTTCAAAAATACGGTAAAATCTCTTAAAATCTAAGGCTTTGAGGTGGAATTATTTGTTGGGAGAGGAAGTTTGGGCAGTCCCGAGGTTTTGATAGTCCTCTTCCATTGGATTTAAGGTTTCGATATGGTACTTACATCCAGGGAATTGTTTACTTAAAGAATAGATGCAGTTTGTATTTTGGAAATAGTATATATTCATTCAGTTCGTTGTTTAACATAAAGATGGTTCGGAACAAATAGGTTTTGCTGTTGTGGTGGTGTTCATTAAAATTCTTTCTTTGCGTTTATTCAATCGTCATATCGTCATTAGCTTCCTATCAGGTGTCATGCATTTATCGAAGTTACCGTTTTCAGATTTTGTCATCGAGGACTGAGCATCCGACGAAATGGACGCTACAGGGTTCGTTCGTTGTTCTGTTTTCAAGTGTTTACCACTGAAACTTTCCAAATATTTTTTATATTCACTAATATTTTGAATGGTTTGGTAGTCCGCTTTGGTGAGTGGAATTATGGAAAAGTTGTCAAATTGACGTCAAATTGCTGAAACGATAATTAATGATGGTTTATTGTGAAGAGATGAAGTACGTGCACCAGCACCGGTAGTCGAAGATGAGAAGTTGGATGTGCAGAACGCACTGAAACGCACTATGAAATCGGCAATTGTGGTCGACGGTCTTGCGAAAGGTCTTCATGAAGCTGCAAAGGCGCTTGACAAGTCTGTTGCCATATTCTCTGCTTTTTTTTGCTAATTTTAATCCTTTCATTATAGTTGTAGTTGAACTTTTTTACTTATCAACGCTCCACAACCATGTGAGGAGTCACATTTTTACAGCGCCATGATAAGTCATTTCCTGAACCTGATTTTAGAGTCATTTCCGAGTAAAAGTTCGGTACCGGAATCAGATTTTATGCTATATTTGTGTTTGCTACTCAGTGTATCAAACAGTCTACATCGAACGATTCATATATAATTTTAGTTCAATATATTTGATCACGATTTAATTGCAGACGTCAAGCGTATTTCTGTGTGTTGGCTGAGAACTGTGACGAGCCGATGTACACGAAATTGGTTGAGGCGTTGTGCAAAGAACATCAAATTCCAATGATCAAAGTAAAGGACAAGAAACAACTTGGCGAATGGATTGGCCTTTGCAAATACGACAAGGAGGGTAAAGCTCGTAAGGTAAGTAGTCGGGAATTGCTTTCATTCCAAGTGGCACATGCAGTGTGTTCATATGGAACTGCAACTACTCAGTCTTAATCAGATGTAGTTTCTTCGAATACTTGATCAAGAAGCACTGCAGACATATGAGAGAAGCAAATCTCGTTTCCAACTTCAGACGCCCTCGTGTGGTTTTGTTTGGGATATGAGCGCTCAGTTAAGACTGAAATCTCCTCTCAAGGCTTCAAATCTGTTGATGTATTTTATAAAGTTAGAATAATTTTCTGTGAGGAGGTTATTCTTTTAAACTGAAAAGATTGAAATTTCAAGGTGGTCGGTTGCTCATGTGCAGTTGTACGTGACTACGGTGCTGATGATGCGGCTCGTTTGGTGCTGCAAGAGTTTTTCGAGAGTCAGAAGAAATAAAATGTGATGTTTGTGAATAGATGAAAAAGTTGTTGTTGTTGTTGTTCGGTTAATTGATTTATTCACAAATAAATTTTGTCATTTCGTCGAATTTTTCTCGAATCATTCCACATTTACATAGCAAACATGTTCATTGAAGTGCATTTTGAAATGTGTAATATTCCATGAAAGTTGAGTGATTTTAAGTCTTATGAATATGCGAAATTTTTCGTTACTCAGTTTTCATTTACTGTCGATAAGAAACCAGTTTGTTCACAAAAGTATGTTGAGGAGCAGATGATACTTGGTGTTCCGAACAATCCGTTTATATTTAGAAGCCAACAATCATGGGACGGAGTTCCTGCATGTATTTGATTGTTGTAAAATGAAAAGAACTCATTTGCACGTTAGTATTGTTATAATATGACAGTGCTTCGGTTATTATGTGGTCATCTATCTAATAATAAGAGGAGTATGTACTCATGAAAGTGAAAGGTTTCGTTAGGGGAGCGTAACCGAGAGGAGTTGACATCCTTGAATTGACGACATTCGTATTGGCATAATGAAACGAGTAATACTGCTGCACACCAATAAAGAAACAAAACCTGTTAACCGATTCATCGCACTGATAACATCATACACTTAAGCGTTCGAATGCAGCTGATTCACTGTGTAATTCACTCGAGCATTTTGATAGGCTTATAAACAACAATAAATTTCATTTGATAAACCAACAACATTTCATTCATTCACTTGTCTTGTACAAGCAACATCTGTTTGCTTCAGTCGTATCAGTTGTTAATATTTCTGCAACATTTTCCATTGTTCACCCAGTGCACCTTCCTCTGACTATCGATGTCTCTGTAATTCATTCGAATGTTGTTTCATCTGAAATCATTGCAACTAATCAAAAATCATCAATCACTGCCAACCCTTCACTTATTTTCGTCGATTCGAGATTTCTCTCTTTGAAAAGTTCTATATATATGGCAAGACTGGTGTTAAACGAAGTAGTTTGAATGAACGCCGTCAAAGAGATTCATCCATGAATGCTGATGATATTCTTCCCAGCAATTTTGCCACTATCGGAACCGATGAAAATGCTAATACTGTAAATCGTGATTCCGATACTGATTCGAAAAGTACGTCTGAAATAATTTCTGGTGCAACTGAACAGAATGGGCGGCTCAATGATATGGCCAACAACGGTGATATAGTTGTTGAAGGCCATCAAAGCGATGAGAATTCACTTTTAAAGTTTAATAAAGATAAGGTACTATGGTTGAAAATTATTGAATATTAATTATTGAATATTAATCATGGAATATTATGATAATTTTAAGAAGGACTCTCAAATCGTTTAGCATATAAGTTGTATGAATGAAGCAGTTGTTGACTGTTGATATTCTATTGAGAAACAATCGCGTAAACGGTTGAGTCGTAATTGGTTGGAACGAATCAGAGAGTATGCAACTTTGAAATATTCATTATTTAATAGTGAGGGAAGTTTTGTGAAATATGTTAGCAATTTTGGTTGAGTTTAACAATCGTTCTGCTTATTTTATTATTTTCCAAGTAACGAAACGAATACAAAGGCTTAAGTGGTATAAAAGTATGTTTATAGTAGAGATGCATCCGTAATTTAATTTATTGCAACATGCCACCAATCGGTTTTACAGTTTTATATGTATGTGTGTATATAGATTGATGCCGTACAAAGATGTTAGATGAAATGCTCAATGCCAGCCTGATAGATAATATGCCAGCCACGTCTCATCCACGTTTCACTTGCCATTCATACGGCGCAAATCTTTGACGATATTCATTTGTGTACACCACATAAAATGCATTTGAGATATTATTCGTTAAACGCCACATCTACATGTGTTTGCATAATTTTACTGTGTCTAGTCCATTAAAACAGTCGGATGAATATTTTATTAGTGCATCATGGATGGCTCAAGGCCGATAACTTCAGCACTTTTGATACTAGTGATTGACGGGAAGATACCAACAAAAAAAAGATCACTTGTTGCTTGTATGAGCAAGAGAAATGAGTTTTTCAACTGCTCGTGCTCATGCCCATTGCTCATGGGCTTACGAATACGAGCAGAATAAGATTCTTATCCGTTTACCCACAAGTCCCATCACTCCAGCCAAACCTTCAATCACTTCAACCAAACATTTCTCGTGCGAGTGCCAGTATATGCATTTTACGCCATTAATTTCATCGTCCTCAAAAGAACAGTCAAAATGTTGATTTCAACTGCAACAATT